CCCCCTTTCCGGGTAAAAAAAACAAAACAAAACAAAAAAACAGCCACGCAGCGGCGTGTGGGCCCCAAAGGTGCAGGTTCCGTGGCGGCCGGGAGCGATGGCGTCACCCGGTTCCCCCGCGCGGCCACGCTCACTCCCACAGACTGCACCCCCAGGCACACGCTCACCATCACCCCACACACCCGCACACTTGCCGACACAGGCTCACAGACACGCATTCCTAAACACGGTGCCATTCAGACACGCTCACACTCACCTGGGCACAGACACGCTCACATCCCTCGCACTACACACTCCTTCACATACCGGCCGACACACGCTCCCGCACAGCCGTGCACACAGCACACACGCGCGCTCACACACACATTCCTCACACACACACGCGCGCGCGCGCAGGTGGGTGGGGCCAGAGGTGACTCAAGCCATCTGGGCCTCTGCTCTCTTTTATTGAGAGGGGGGCCGTAGGAGCATTTGTTTGGTTGGAGTTTCCTTTCCTTCCTCGCTGGGCTCCTCCCACACCCAGGAAGCCGCGCTCAGTCAAGTGTGACAGGGTGGCCAGTGTGCCACAAGTGCCCCGACTTCGCCACTGGCCCGGGCGCCCCGAGTGGACGGGATTCCGCTGCCCGCGCACTGCTCTCCTGCGTCAAGCTCGGGCCTGTGCGCCCGCTTCTCCGGAGGCCATGGCCCCGCTGCCCCCCAAGTCGTCAGCGGTACCCCTGGCCCTCTAAGACCTCTGCACCCCGCCTGGCGGGGCCTCGCTCTCGGGGAGGCTCCAGGCCAACTCTACCCATGTTGACGAGTCAACACTGGGGCAACAGAAAGGGCTTTTCGAGAAGGCTTCTGAAGATCCCTGACCAGAGCTGAGGCCAGTGTGACCAGCGCGGGCCAGTCTTCCTTCTTGTATTTCTCCAATGACTCATGTGAGTAGAGGCAGGAAGTCCAGCATCTCCTCCGGCAGCTTCCCCTTGGAATGTTCCAGAACCCTGGACCGTCTGCACAGGCTGCTGCAGCCATGGGGTCTGGCTCCATCAGCCCAACAGGTGTCTGTTCCCCAGCCACCGCAGTGGGGGGGGGGCCTGCTCCCCAGACCCAGGTTGCAGTGGCACCCCCGCTTGGGCCACAGAAGGACACAGCTCTTTGAGTTCAGAGCAGAGAACCCGAGATGGCTGCCCTCCCCCCCACCAAGCAACCATGTCAGGGTAACAGGCCGGCTGCAGCCAGCCTTTGCACACAGACCCCCCCGGCCCTGTGCTGAGCCGAGGTCCCCTCATGGCGGGCTTCCCTCCAGAGCCCGGGGTGTCCTTTCCTGCCTGTGAGACATTATGGTGACGCTGACCTGAAAGGGTCAGGCCGTGGCTGCTTCGCTTGGCCCATGTCCTCCCAGGTCCCCAGACCGGCTCACACCGCTGTCCCGGGACACTGCGGGCCAGGGGCTCACTCCCCGCTCCTGCCTCACATTATAGTGCAAGGGCTCTTTTTAAGACTCTGCCAAAATAAGACTGCCAAAAATTCTCTGGGCTGGGCTATTTTTGGTCCTTTTAAAATAAGCAACAAGGTAGAAGTTTCGGAGATCCATCAGAGGGGTTTTCTGGGACTCCGGCGGCTCTCTACCAAAGCACGTTAAGCAACACCGAGAAGGAACTGATTGAAGATTCAGGCACGACCCTGGTGGAGCCCTCTGCTGGTGAGACCTGCTCCTGCTCCTTCCCTGCCACCTCTCCTTTCTCCTCTCCAACTGTGTGAGCAGTTTTGGATCCCCAGCTCTAGGGACTTGACGGGGTCGACAGCACGATCATTTTGCCCCAAACGGGGCAACCGCTCTGGGGGCGGGTCCTCTGGCCTCTGCAGGTTCAGGCGGCCTAGCAGCCGTGATGGGCAGCAAGGAGGGCCAATCACAGCCCTCCTCTGCCTTTCAGAGGCCGCCCTCTCGGTTCCCTATGGCAACGCGGAACAACAAGCTGACACCATTTCTGGACAAAGAAATTTCTCCCGGGGATTTGTGTAGCATTACATGTTCTGTTTGCTGTGTTCCTGGGAGAAGTGCACACGGATATTAGAGCCGGGGCTCGGAAGCCAGTCCCGTTTGTTTTCCAGAGAAGCGGGAAGCGTAGTCATGGTTAGTGTTAGGGGACTTCAGGCCTCTCCCTGAATGTAATGATCAGGCCTTCAAGTGACACCCACACAAAGACCATGGGTCCCCCGGGGGAGGTCTAACTTGGGCTGCAGGACCCTGTCAACTTCTCCCACTGAAACGTGTTAAGTGTCACCTCAGGAGGGACCGGGACTCACGGCAAAACAAAACCAGTGATACCAACTGTCCAGGCAGGTGGCTTCCAATCTTTGTGAATTTTACAGCACAACCCAGTCGTGTATCATGTATGTGCACATACACACACGTATGACAGCACTTCACCTCAAACATGTGATGTGCTCTATTTTCTAGTCCATTCTGTTTTGTAAATACCGTTGTGACCCTCTCTGTGCGCTGTTGGTTTGTAACCTGAAGTTTGAAAACATTATCTTGGACTGAAAGAAGGGCTGAGGATGGTGGACTGGGCCCCCTGCATGCAGGGGGTGGTTGGCAGGGGAAACCCCCCTCCCCCGCCTGCTCCCCGGTGAGTGTGCGCCGCCCCTGCTGAGCTGGGCAGCCAAGGTCACCATCACCCCCACCCTTCAAGTGGACCCTGGCTAAGGGCAGAGGCGCAGCGGCAAAGATGTGGGCTACCTCTGCCCCTCTCTGGACAGGGGTAGCAGAAACCAAATGCAAAGGAAATGGGGCCCAGCGAGGCCCAGGATGGCTAAGGTGTTCAAACCTAGCCAGGGGTCTTGTGCAAGTGACAGACAAGAACAGGGAGGGTGGGAGATTTAGGGAACTGGCCACATGAACTTTTAATTTTCTCTCATTTCTGTGGGCCACTCAGGGAGATGAAGGGGAAGACCCATTCTGGGATTTGCACACGTGTGCGTGTGCACACACCATCTCCGGCACTTTCCCCCCAATCCTCCAGGAGAATCCAAGCACGGGGTGAGGCCAGCCTCCTACAGGTGCCTTGATTGGAGCCCCATATCCACCTTGACCCTTAACACGTTCTGAAAATTAGATTCAGTCTCACCAAGAAAAAGGGATATTTTTCTGCAGGCCTCATGGGAGATAGGGGAGAGGGTTTGCATCAAGAACCACACAGCAAACTCATAAATCCTGCTTTGAAAGTCCTGATGCCTGCCTTCAAATCCTATTTAGAAGCTTCACCTCCTCTGTGTAATCACTGACCTTCTCCCTCAAGCTGCGGGTACGCCACAGCCCCTTTGCTCCCCCCACCCCGACGCCCCCCTGGGAATTCAGCTCCAGCCTCAGCTGGCACACACGCAGCGAGCCAGCCGGTGGCTGGCAGAATCCTACCGCCAGCTCATCCTACCCCAGCAGACTCCTAGGAAGTAGGCTCTGCTCCTCCCTGCTCATGAGAAATGAGGAGGGAGGAGGTTATTAGGTCCAAATTAAGTCTTGGATTAACGAGATAAAACGTTTGAAAAGGACAAGAATCGTTCTATTTCATCAAAACTGCAATGTGACATCTCACTATGAGTAAAGGCAAATGGGGTGCCCTTCCCCAGCTCTCAAGGCTGGTGGCGATGTGCCTGAATGTCATATGATGCCAGATCAAAGCCATTGTCCCCTTGTTCATTAGTGCAGTCAGTCAAGACCTGCTTGTGGTCAAGACCCTCCAGCTCTCTTCCAGCACAGAACCAATTAAATGCTTGCCCTTTTGGAGCTTACCTTCTAGCAGGTGAAAACAAAAAAACTGCAAGTGAATTTATAACAAGAGCTCTGGAGCAAGCCAGAGCAGAGAAGGGGAAGAGGGAGGCCTGGAGTGAATGGTCAGGGAAGGAGGCAGGTAAGGTGCCAGATAAGACACCACTTGCATGTAGGCGTAAAAGAAAAGAGGAGGGTACCATGTGGCTATTAGTGGGAAAAGCATCCAGGAGGAGGGAACAGCCTGGGCAAAGGTCTTGAGGTCAGTAAGCATTCGGGAGGCCAGTGTGGCTGGAGCCAAGGAGCCAAAGTCACAGAGGATGAAGGTGAGGGTGGGGATTAGGGTTCAAGGGAGCTGGAGACAAAGGGCCTTTCAGGTCATCAAGAGCACTTTGATTTTACTCTGAGATGGGGACCACTGTAAAGTTTAACTGGCAGCTTATATTCTATCCACACTAGCCCTACATTTGATCATACTTCATTTTCATTCAGCCAATAAACATATGCTGAGAACCAGGCAAATCTGAACAATGGGACATTTTCTTGTTACATGATAAACGAGATCACCATTGATGAAGCTTGGTGCAGGCCTGCAACTACGAACACAGACCTCCCAAGTGTTAAAAAAAGGAGGTGACTCCCTCTCGACACAGTGACCGCATGTCTGGGACTCTCTTCCAAAGAAATAATATCAATACTGGAAAACCGTTAGGCACCTCCCCTCTCCAAAACTGAGGAAAGGGAATGAGCATCACCCTTTAGCTGGTGGCCCTCATGGTGGTGTTCTAAACCTAGTAGATGCTTAGAGCCCCACGCGGCTGAGAACCCACAGCACACGGCCTGTAGGCCAAGCTCTGGCCACAGCAGTGCGGCCGCACACAGCAGCCCTTGCTCTGCTGCTCTCAGTCCCCAGGAAAAACTGACGGGCTAAGGTTCCCCAAACTCACCTGCTCCACCCACGCTGGCCTCCAGGGAGCCTCTGTGACTCAGGCCAACTCAGTCCTCAGAGCCTTTGCCCGTGCCGTGCCCTCTGCCCAGGACACTCTTCCTCCAGGTCTCTGTATGCTTCACTCTCTCTCTTCCTGGGGGGTGAGAGCCATTTGGAGCAATTCCAAATAAAACATGCATTTCTAGGATTTGCCCTATCCACCTCCAAATGGGCCCTTGGCCCGACACGGTGGCTTCACACCCCAGCAGGAAGGATGCCATGGGTCAGGTCCCCAGCTCCTCTTGCCAAAGGGCCCCCCAAAATATTGTGGTGATGAGTTCCCTAGGAAAGGTGAACCAGAGAGGAATTCACTAGAACAGGACAATGCTAGACCAGGAATCGAAAAAGCAGAACTCAACTCATGACAAACCGTATCATCTTAGGAAGGTACCTTACCTCCCTGGCCCTGGGTTTCCCCTTTTGTAGAGCGGAAATAAGACTGCCTGCCCTACCCCACGGGGGCTGTGAAGGAGGATGATGCCAGTGGGGCCATGTGGCCAACATGTCCCCCAGAGGTGCCCCGATGCCCAGAAGGAAGGTGCAGCGCTGTATTTTGGATGCCCTTGTCCTCACTGTGTATAAAGGACCTGCCCACCTTTCCCAGGTTATGAGGGATTGTTTGAATTGCAGGTGTTCATCATTGATTGCCATGGGTAAAAATCACATTTGCCCCAGAATCTGGGGGGGGGATGTCACCTAACCTAGGACTTTTAGGGGTGCCAGCCATGTGCCCATGTGAAATTATCCATTCACTGAAAAGCATTTTTTGAGGAGCTGGTCCTTGGGCTTTCACAGCCTCTATGAAGAGAATCGTGCCTACGCAGTGCCCAGGGCGCAGTGTTCTTCAACCCGCAGCTGCCAGTCCCTCAGTAGATCATAAAATCAGTGGAGCGGGCATGACCAGCTTCTTATCAAAAAAATGAAATAAAATAAAATGGAAAATAGCAGAAGGCTTCACACCGAGGGAGGGTTGGTATCGTTCCGTAACACTCTTGGTCTAGTTCCGCCTGGCTGGTTCTGGTCGTGCATCTTTCTCACCGTGCGTCCCGGTGAAGAAGTCCAAAAAGCCACCGTCCTCAAGGAGACACGGCTCCGGCGTCATTTCTACGGTCGTGTGAAAGCTCTTTTCCTCACTTCTGCTGACACATCTCTGTGTGTGCCAAGCAAATACAAGTTTCACCCACTCTGGGAGGGAACACTCAAGATTAGTAGAGTCTGAATTAACAAGTTTTGTTATATTAAAAAAGAAAACCATGATGATGCCGCTCAGCTTGCATCCCTCCTGCTCTCCCTGAGTGGTTCCATGGACAACGCTGGGCCCTGGCTTCCCCATCACCCAGCTGGCTGAAGGCTTTTGTCTGCGGGGTCAGCTCCCTCTCTCTCTCTCTCTCTCCAGGGCTGCCACAGGCCTGGATGGGGCAGAAGTCACTACCATTCTCCCTGGCAGAAGGCCCTAGGCAGCCATTAAAATATCTAGCCAAGCGAATGAATGTGTGAGTGAATGAATGAATGAATGAATGAATGAACGAACAAGCAAACCATCCGTCCCGAGCCACATCTTTCCTGTCCACTTCACGTACCTCCAGTTTCACGCGGTCAAACTTCATCAACAAGCAGCTCCCCACAAAGGACTCTGACCCAGGACTGGGCTCAGAGCTGGTGTCGGCTCCAGAATCTCCACAAGGTTTATGATGTGATCATCTGTCTAGAAGAGCGTCTGAAGGACTGGTCTTGAATCCTTACTGCCATAACAAGATGATTCCTTTACTTCGTATGTGGATCTGAGGTGGATTTGGGGAGCTGTGGAAGATGGGGAGTCTCTGCCCACCCCTTGACCTCACCACTGTGTCCACTTCTGCGTGGACACAAAAGAAACCCAGGGCCTGCTATCTGTCCCCACCCCCCACCCCTGGCTGATCAAGAATCCACTCCAGAACACTAAAGATTTTGCTTCCCAGGGAGTCGCCACCCTCACCAGCTCTGACTTCGTTCTTTCTGGCCAGGCTGTATTTGGGGCAGCCTAGGTGGACTTGTGTCTTGCTATTCACCTGAAGCATGTGAACTATGATTACTCAAGTCAACTACAACTAGAATGCCCAAACTCTGGGGCATTTTAAGGCCTCAAGAGTAAGCTGAAGCCAGTGTCGGGTGAGCTGGTACGAAGGAATCCAGTCTGGCCGTCCTTTCGTGGAGGTGGGTCTATGAAGCGGTTCTTGGGGAGGGCAGTTGAGGTGTGGAGTTTCCAGTCTGGAGGCCAAAAGGGATCTAATGAGCCCTGTAATTTGCCAAATCACCTCTGTCCTCTGTCCCAGGTAGTTGAGCATAAAAACAGCAGATTCACAAATTCATGCTCTCATTACACCTCTAGCTAATCAATGGCTCTAAGATATTAATTTCCATGAGTGATTTGCAATGTAGATGAGTTTTCATAACGACCACATTTGAATTTCCCTCTACTATTTTTTAACATGGACCCAAATAAGCTCATTTCACAGGAAGACCTAACCTTGCTACGTGCTGATACCTGAAATGACAGTCAAAGGGCTTCAGTCACTAATGACTGCTTTGTAATTAGCAGGGCACCTAAATAGCCCTGCTTCATCAGCCTAACAAGAGTTTGCTAAACACCAGCTGTATTGTACTTCCTAAAGCCAGGGGACCCAGAGCTGGCCAACAAGCCTTGAGGACATGATTAAAGGGACCAAGGACTGGAGTGGGCATCCACCTGGGGTCTCTACAGACCCTGTGGCCCCCGGCGCAGGTGTCTTGGTCAGGCTCTGGGCCTCTCTGGTGGCATACTTCCCCTCTTGTGGGGGATTTAAGTCAGTCGGGCAGGGCTCCCATACAGCGTCCTGTGATGCTGCCCACGATGCCCCAGTCGGGGGGAGGCCCTGCGGGGTGGGCACTCAGGCACTCAGGCACTCAGGATGCAGCCTGGGGTGGTTGCCCCCAATGGCTGTCACAGGAAATGGCCTTTCCTCCCTTGCTGTTTCTTTTTGAGTATGAGGCAAACTCAAAAATTCCCCCACAGATGGTGAAGGAACCAAAGTCGGACACTCTAACTTTGGTTTGGGGATTTTGCTATTCTGATGGGGCGCTTCATTCTGCAAGTCCAAGTGCAGAAACTGAGCTGCCAGTGCCCGGAACAAGGCTCTTCTGAGCAGCCGCTTCCAGGCCACTCCCCAGCAAGAACACCACCGGCCCCGGGGCCTCCCTCGGACTCTGCCCTCTGTGGGGAACTAATTTGCATAGTCGCAGGCCTGTCTGAAGTTGCCTGGGTGATCAAGAAGTGGGACTTGGGGGGCGCCTGGGCAGCTCCATCAGTTAGGCGTCTGCCTTCGGCTCAGGTCACGATCCCGGGGTCCTGGGATCCAGCCCCAAGTTGGGCTCCCTGCTCAATGGGGAGTCTGCTTGTCCCTCGCCCTCTGCCCCTCTCCCTGCTTGTGCTCTCCCTCTCAAATAAATAAATGAAATTTTAAGAAAAAGTGGGACTTGGGTGCTCCTTTCATGCTTTGATTCCAATGGATGTGAGTCTTCTTGATTCCAAAAAGAAAAAAATGTTAGAAAAGGATCAAGGAGAAGTTCCCCAGCTTGTCTAGAACCTTGACTCCATTTTTTTTCCCCGCCATTTTTAAGGATTTTGCCCCAGGATCAGTCAAAACTAATATCCACCTATGCATCTTTGAAATGTTCATTCATTCCTACAACTCACAATGCCCACTGGACAGGTGAGGAATGGCATCTACTCTGAGCCTGTTCTGCTTGTAAATCCCAGAAAGCTGCTCAGCCCAGGTGGTGGTGGGCAGGGGGAGACCGCATCTTCCCCTCTGTGGGTAAAGCCCTGTGAGGGGTCTTCCCCACTCCCTCCTCTTCACTCCCCTCTGCCCAAGCTTCAGGGCTCCCCAGGATGGCCGGCTGCAAGAAGGGCTGAACGTGAACTCGCTGAAATCGTTCTTCAGTGCTTTTTGCCCCCGGACAAGGGCCCAGCTACCACTGGGTTGTCAAAAGACCTGAAACTAATAATGCGATAGAACCTCTGACATTTGTCCAGAAAAACAAGATGGCCTAATACAGAGCTCCTGATACCTTTTGTCACATAGCATCATCCAGTTCTATGCATCGAAGTTAGGATCCTTTCAAAAATGCTGTAACCTCCCCCCAAGCCATTCCTTGCCACCCACCACCCCTCCCTCACCGCTCACTCTCACCCGCCATTACCCTTCGCCATCCTGGCCGCCACCACCTCCGTCTTCCCCCGCCATGGCTCTCTTCCCACCATGCCCTCCCACTTCCCTAACATCCTGTCAGGTGTGGGCTCCCTGCCACCACTAATGTCTCCCCCACATGCCTGCCACTCACCATTCCCCCATCACTCCTCTGCCGACCTCTCTCCTCCCATCATCCCCTACCTACCATCCTCAGCCTCCTGGGGATGCAGTGTGTCACTCTCCCTACTCTTCGACCCCTAGACCCAGCTGTTAAGCAAAGCCTGAAAAGTGGGCAGCCTTTGTGGGCTGGGGATCGATGCCAACACCTCTAAATTGCATCTTAAACCCCAGACCTCTGCCTCCAGGAATGACCTCCTTCCTGGCCTTCCTCTGCTCTCCTGGTCCTTGAAAACTCCAGCGTGTCTTGCAGAAGCACACTCCTGAGACTGGGGACTTGCTCAAAAAGGCTGGAGATGCAGAGGGCAGTCTGAGAAGAAGTCCAGACAAAGTTTGATTCCTTTGGAAATGGGCACACTTCCAGAGTTCCCAACAAAGAAGAAAGATCTTTAACCAGCCTGCCACCAGCCCTCCTACTGAGCAACCACAAAGAGACTTACTGTTCTGGAAGCTTCTCTCCTGGATTCTCTAGTGGAAAAGAGGTTAGAGGGGCAGGATGGCTTGCTGGAGAGCAAGGAGGATCTGCCTGGCTACAAACACGAGCGTCCCAGCGTACCGGACCTTCCGCTAACATTCACTGGTACTGCTGTGAGCCAGGCACTTTGAGAGGCTCTGGGAGTGGAAAGAGAAATGGGACTAGTGGGGCAGACATGTGTGCATGCACACACACACACACGTGCGCACACACAGCTAACCTGTGCACAGAGTGAGAACAGAGGACCAGGGGTTTGGACAGTGTCTCAAGTCCTCAGGAAGCCCCTCCTTCTGTTCTCCATGGTAACGGGGAGATGGACATTGTCTAAGATCAGTGCATGGTCACAATTACTGCCCCACAGATTAGGCCAAAACTTAGTGGCTTACGCAACCAAAATCATTTATTATCTCTCAAGGCTTCCGGGGGGTCCGAAATTCGGGAAAGCTTTAGCTGAATAGAGTCTCTCCTCCAGGTGCAACCAGAGCGCAGTGACGTCTGAACAGTATGGGGCTGGCTGAGCATCTCGCCACGTGGGCCAGTTTGAGCTTTCTCACAATACGGCAGCCTCAGGGCAGTCCGTCAGGCTAGAGGCTTCAGGAGCAGGTTTCCAGTCAACAAGGCAGGAGCTGTGTTATCTTCCAGAACCGTCCACTGGAAGTCACACAGTCTCACTTTCGCCATATTCCCTGTTGGTTACAAGCAGGGAGCGTCCAGAGCACCCTCTAGAGACACGAGTGGAATAGAAAATATCATTGGACCATCCTGAGAAAATACAGTCTCTCCAGCTGAGTTCCCTGGAAGCAGAGCCTGAGAGAGATTCAGGGGCTTGTGGTCGGCTGAGGGCATGCTTTTCAATAAAAGCCTGTGCGGGAGAGAGGGGGACAAGTGCAGCGGGGAAGGGGAAAGAGCCAAGCAAGGGGGTGAGGGCCCAAGTAAAGTCAAGCCCTCCCTGGTGCCCAGTGGGCTCAGGACCACGAATCCTGCCACAGTTGGCCCTGTCTGGAAGAAAGGAGGCCAGCCTCTTTGTACCTTTGAACCAGTCAGCCGCTGGCTGTGAGGAGCCCCAGGCAGAGACAAAGAATGTAAGCTGGGGTGCGTGGCTCTCACCAGCTGAAGTCATTTTCTAGAGAAGGCAGCTGTGAGCTGTTAGCAGCGAACCCTCAGAGCACTTGGGGAAGGGGTAACACCAGCCCTGTAAAGGTGGTCTAGGTGGGGCTCCGTGGTAGACTGCAGAATGCCACAAATTCCTCCTATCTCTGCATCCATGCCCTTTTGCATGTGACTTTGTTACGCCCTCCATCAGGAGGAGTCTCTTCCCCCCTACTCCTTAAGTCTGGGCTTGGCCATATGCCTTGCCTTGGCCAATGGGACATAAGCAAACATGAGACATGCAAAGGCTTGAAAACTGCTTGTTCATTGGGGTTTATGCTCTCTTGTGGCACTTGGAGCCCTGAAACCATGGAAACGAGCTCAAGCCAACTTCCAAAGGGGCCACATGGAAGAGAACCAAGGCATTCCAGTCAATAGTCTTCATCCGGCAGAAACGTGCATCTGGCCATCCTAAATCATCCAGTCCCACCTGAGCCACATGAGTGAGCCCAGGGGAGACTGTAGACCCACCCAGCTGAGCCCAGCCCAAATTGCCAATTCACAGAATCAAAGGCCAATAAATGATGATTATTTTAAGTCACTAAGTTTCTGGGTTGTTTGTGACACAGCAAGGCTACCTAATAATACAAGCAGGTCCCCCTACAGAAATCTAGTGGTCCCAAAGGCCTGCTAACCCCTCAATACTTGTATGGATGGAGAAAAAGAGGGACTTTCTCCTGGGTCTGGACTTGGCCCTCTCACCCTCTGACCCTTTGGTATGCCACTCACACCAAGAGTGTTCCCTAAACACCCAGAGTCCCTCATCCCATAAATGAGATCTATGGCCCAATCAGAGGCTCTGGGGCTCCTGAGGATCCTGGAGGCAAATGGGAACCAGCCCTTGAGGAATTCCCAGAGCAGTGCCCCCTAAGTCCATGCTTTTTGCACTTGGGACTTTGACCTCTGGGGCCCCAAACTTGGGGGGGGGGGGGCTTTGGGCAAAAGTCAGGGTCACAGAGTCATCTTTCCAGTTATCACAGCCTCACACTAGAGTCAGGGAACTATGTCAGCAGGTTTAGGAAATGCCAAGCTGCTCCTTGCAAAAACACTTTTTGGTCTCTTGGATAAAGACTTCAATATTAAACATTAAGATTTTGCTATGATTAAATCCTCACTGGGCATAAAGAAAGAGCTGTAACTACATTTCAGTGTAGCATTTGAAGGGATTTAGTGCTTTTCCACCAATTTTTTTTAAATGTCAAGGGTATATATCTTTCTTCGAGGACTCAGCCTATGGCAAATTTCAGATTTAAAAAGACCCAGCGACGGACTTAGGAGCCCAAAAGGGGAGGTGAAAATCTACAATTCAAAGATTATAAAACTGCCAAGTTTTCAGTTAATTCAAAAACCATCTCAGTGGAAAATTCTGTAAGCTTCCCACACATAATCAAAGAGATCTGGTTTGGAATTGCAACTGAAACGAACCCTCGTAAGGGCCCGCTTTCTGGATTAAATGATCAAGCTGAGACCAAAGCAAATGGTGAACGATCCAGTCTCATTACAAAAAACCCCACTGAAGGACCACATTTACACTGGCACAGAGAGACAGGCTGGACCCTCCCTCTCTCCCTCAGCCCTGCCTCGAAGCCAAGAAAACAAGCCAAGAAGAAGGTAGTCTTCAATTTTATGGAGCAATGAGATTTGTAGTAAATATTTATTAGCTGTTTAGTAAACGCAGTTAAATTTCTGGCTGAGCTTCACGGGGCTATTTTATCCGAATTAACTAAGGTTTACTTTCAAGTCCAAGTGGATCCCGCGGAGTAAGGCTGCGCTGATGTTAAAGCGCAAGTGACAAACGGGTGCCGGTCACAGCAGCAGGGCAGCGTCTTTCCGTCTCTGAGGATCGAAGGGCCTAATCCGGGAGCCAAAGCCAGGGCGGATGCCCGCGTCCCGTGCCTTCGCTGCCCTCTGTGGAGGGGCACCGCCCTCCCTGGCCTGCAGCACAGTGCCAGAGAAACCGTGGCTCCTTCCCCAGGAAGGAAGTGGGCAGGCAGGTGCCCTCTCAGGGCCGGGCACACCCACTCCAGCACCCGGGGCACTGAGATCCAGACAGAAGGCCTCTGGCCAAGGTCCTCCGGTGCCCAGAGCAGCCCAGACCACAACCTCCGACTCCCTGTCCGGTGCTCAGGACACTAACCCCACCCACTCACCCCTGCAACGCGTCTGTGCTTTCACCTCCTAAAAAAGCCTTTTACCCGCGCTTTCACTCCTAGGTATCTACTCCAGGGGAATGAAAACATCTGTCCGAACAAAAATTGTTCACGAATGTTCCCAGCAGCACAAGCCACGGCAGCCCCAAAGGAGGAAGCAGCCCAGGGTCCCTCGGCTGATGAATGAACGCCGCGGGGCGCGTCCACGCGTGGAACGAGGGAGAGACACGCCGCACCACGGGGGGGGGGGGGCCTTGAAGGATCCCGCTAAGCCGAAGAAGCCGGACACAGAGAGCACACACGGTACGACCCCCCATCAGGTCAAATGTCCCAAACAGGCAAATCCAGAGAGAGAAAGTAGACTGGTGGTGACCGGGGGCCCGAGGGAGGGAAATCGGGGCCGACCACTGCAGGACCAGCGGTTTCGTTGTGGGGCAACGAACTTGTTCTACAACTGACTGTGGTGATGGTTGCACAACCCCGTGAATATACCAACAACCACTGAATTGTACACTTCAAAAAGTGATAACCATTGACGGTATGCAAATTATACCTCATTTTTTTTAAAAAAAGGGACTTCCACTGGATGGGTGTGGTTGACAGCTAAGCCCTGGGTTCGAATCCCAGCTCCCGCTCTTACAGGCTGTGGGCCTTTGGATGACCTCCTTCGGCCCGCCTCTTCCCGGCTCCCCGACCCCGGCCCGGTGGCGGCCGCGGAGCTGCTGTGAGGGCTCCCCGAGGCGCTCCCGGAGTCCCCAACCTGGAACCAGCACACGCTCGCTCCTCCCGCTCTTAGCCTTTGTGCGGAAGAGGCAGGCCAGGCTCTGCCATGTGACTCGGGGGCAAACTCTGATTGGCGGAGCCAATGGCCCTCCTAACCAATGATTGGCTTAGCACAGGGCACGTGAGCCAATCAGAGCCAGTCAGATGTGAGTGGCTGGCGACTGAGGAACGCAGGGCCAGGCTTCGAGGCGGATGGCAGATGCAGAGCTGGAGGTCATCTCCTTTTTCTGCTGATGCTTGGGTCGGCAGGTGGCTGCCAGGGTCTGGTTAGTCACCTCGCAGCCGTCTGGGGACTCACCGGAGCATGGCAGGCCAAAGGTGTGGGAGAATGGCCCTTCAAGATGGCGCTCGGGGCGAGGATCGGCCCGGGGCCGCCCGGCCTTGGGGCAGGTCCCGTGCGCTCCTGAGCTCAGGTGGCTGTTCCTTGCGGCTGAAGCATGCTATAGGCGGCAGTGGGCAGGTGCGGAGAACCCCGAGCCGTAACGACAGGGGGCGTCGCGGATACGGGGTATCCGCGGTCAGCGTAGGGATGGCAGGAGGCATGTTTCCACACAGGTTCCGCACTGACCACTAGCTTTTCTTTCTTTTTTTAAGATTCTATGTATTTATTTGACAGAGAGAGACAGTGAGAGCAGGAACACAAGCAGGGGGAGTGTCAGAGGGAGAAGCAGGCCCCTGGCCGAGCAGGGAGCCCGATGCGGGGCTCGATCCCAGGACCGTGGGACCATGACCTGAGCCGAAGGCAGACGCTTAACGACTGAGCCACCCAGGCGCCCGCCGCTAGCTTTTCTTTTGGAAGCGTACACTCTTTCCAGGGCTTGCCTGCGCTGAGCGCCTTTTCGCCTCCATCTGTGACCGATACGTGGGCTGGGCTCTGGGGTCGGCTGCCAGAAGAGAATAAAGACACGTTGCCCGTGTGGAACTTGGATTTGTCTCTTGTGTGCTTTGTCCTGGACACGGAGCAAGACAGGATGTCAGAACCCTCCAACACTGGGACCCTCTGGCCCTTCTCACAAGGACCCTGAGGTCTGAACGCTGGTCGCATCCTTCTCCCTGGGTGGCCCCTCG